CCATACACATGGATTCCTGCAGACCAAGAATTGACTTGGCTTTAAAATGTAATATTATCTATGTTTTGTTGGGTTTTTATTTATCTTGTTAAAAATTTTCATATTAGTTTTTAATCTGATTTGAGCAGAGCTCAGAAGTGTTATGGGCCTGATGTGACCCTCTGGCTGTGTATTTGACACCTCTGTTATAGACAACCAAGGAGAGGAGAGTGGTTCAGTAAAAACAACACTGATTCTGGAGTCAGAATATCTGATTTCAAATCTAACTTTTCATTCTTTTTTTTAATTAATTAATTTGTTTTTAGTTTTCAACATTCGCTTCCACAAGATTTTAGTTCCAAATTTTCTCCTCATCTTGTCCCTCCCCTGACCCCAAGATGGCATGCATTCTGAATACCCCTAATCTGCCCTCCCTTCTATCTTTCCCCCTTCTCTTATCCCCTTCCTCTTCAATTTTTCTGTAGGGCAGGATAGATTTCTATACCCCATTTCCTGCACATCTTATTTCCCAGTTGCATGTGAAATTTTTTTTAACTTTAGTTTTTAAAATTTGGGGTTCCAAATTTTCTCCCTTCCTCCCTCATCACCCACCCTCATTCAGAAGGCAAGCAACTCGATACAGGTTATACATGTATAGTCACGCAAAACACTTCCATAGTAGTCATGTTGTGAAAAACTAAGTATATTTCCCTTCATCCTATCCCACCCCCCCATTTATTCTATTCTCTCTTTTGACCCTGTCCCTCCTTAGAAGTGTTTGCTTCTGGTTACCCTCTCCCCCAATCTATCCTCCCCTCTATCATCCTCCTGCTCTCTTGTCCCCTTCCCTCCCTATTTTCTGTAGGTTAAGATTGATTTCCATACCCAATTGAATGTGTATGTTATTCTCTCCTTAACCCAAATCCAATGAGAATAAGATTCACTCATTCCCTCTCACCTTCTCCTTTTCCCCCTCCACTGTAAAAGCCTTTTCTTGTCTGTTTTATGTGAGATAGTTTATCCCATTCTACCTCTCCATTTCTCCTTCTCCCAGTATACTCCTCTCTCACCCCTTAATTTTATTTTCCAGATATCACCCCTTCATCTTCAACTCACCCTGTGCCCTTTATTTATCTACCTATCTATCTATCTATCTATCTATCTATCTATCTATCTATCTATCTATCTATCTATCTATCTATTTATCTAACTATCTACATATATTTTTCCCCCTCTAACTACTGTAATACTGACAAAGGACTCATGAGTTACAAATATCATCTTTCCATGCAGAATGTAAACAGTTCAACCTTAATAAGTCTCTTATGATTTCACTTTCCTGTTTACCTCTTCATTTTTCTCTTGGGTCTTGTATCTGAAAGTCAAATTTTCTATTTAGCTCTGGTCTTTTCATCAAGAATGCTTGAAAGTCCTCTGTTTCACTGAATGTTCGTATTTCCCCTGAATGATTATGCTCAGTTTTGCTGGGTAGGTGATTCTTAGTTGTAATCCTATCTCCTTTGCCCTCCACAATATTATATTCCAAGCCCAGTGGTCCCTTAATATAGAAGCTGCTAAATCTTGTGTTATCCTGATTGTGTTTCCACAATACTTGAATCGTTTCTTTCTGGCTGCTTGCAATATTTTCTCTTTGACCTGCGAACTTTGGAATTTGACTACAATATTCCTAGGAGTTTTCCTTTGGGGATCTTTTTAAGGAGGTAGCTTTTCATTCCTCATATCTGTGTCATCTTAAGCAAATTGCTTAACTTTCCTGGGCCTCAGTTTCCTCACCTATAAATTGGAGGCGTTGGCTTCTGGCATATCCTCCTAGACTTAAATCTATGATCCTTTGAAGCAGACTTTGACATTTGTGCTGAGGCTCTGAAAATACATTTGTGTGTACAGATCACTCGAGTAGACAATCAGGGAGATGCTGAATTTCAATATGGCATCACCTCTGTTCTCATACAACTTAAGTTCCATTAGATGGTTTATTGAGGTTGTTGCACTAGAGTGAAGGAAGCTAATGAAAAATATTTAGATCACAATGGAAAGAGCCATCATCCCAACTAAGCTGATTGATAGAATTGATGCATTCACAATATGTACTTTGAGACCATAGGGGGGCTTCTTTTTTGACTGTTCAATAGCCTTGATTTGACCTTGAAAAAACTTATCTGTAAAATCTGTTTGAGAATATTTAGTAATGGTTTGGGAATTCCCAAATACTTAGAGAAGGGCCTTGCCCAGAGTAGACAATCAATAGATATCTGTTGATTTGATTATTCTTTAAAAGATCATTCATAAATATATTCACAGTAAAGCCATCAAATACTTGGATCAGTTTGCTCTCCAGAACCATCTGGAACACAGCATCATTTGCTCTTAAAGCTTGCTGTGACATGCATGCTGTATTTCTTTTCTTTTCTTTTCTTTTTTCTTTTCTTTTCTTTCTTTCTTTGTTTTTTATTTCTTTCTTTCTTCCTTTCTCTTTCTTTCTTCTTTCTTCTTCTTCTTCTTCTTCTTCTTCTTCTTCTTCTTCTTCTTCTTCTTCTTCTTCCTCTTCTTCTTCTTCTTCTTTAGAACTTGCTCCTTGAATACACATCTTTGCTCTCTCTACAGCTTATCATTTTTGAGACTTGCCTGGGTATACTGAGAGGTTTTCAGTGTATGTGCTAGAGGCAGGATTCTCACTGATGTCTTCCTAACTCTAAGGCTACCTCCCTAGTCACCAAGAGAGTCTGAATCTAAACTGGCATTTAGTCATTTTAATTGTTTTTTTTTTAAGTTGGAGAAGTAAGTTAACCTGGTATATAGAGACAGAGAATATGAGACACAACTTTCATATTCTTCTAGGTGTCTTGCTTATATCACTCATTTAGAGGTTGTGTGGGATACTGGGTAGACATTGATGTTGGAGTCAGGAAGATCTGGGTTCAAATGCCACCTAAGACATTTACTGGCCATATGACCCTGGTCAGGTTATTAAAGTTCTCAGGCCCTCAGTGTTCTCCTCTGTAAGAGGTGACTAATAGTCAAAGTCTCACAGAAATGTTGGAAAGTTCAAATGAGCTAAGAGAAATAAAGCAATAGGCACAACTTAGAAGTCCTGTAAGAATGTCATACATTTCAATGATTCTTCCTTTACTAAGTGGATGATTACTAAGAACAAGCCAGTCTTGGCTCCCAATGTTAGTATGTTTTAGTGTTAATCAGTGGAGAAGGTCTCAACTTCTCTGAAATGTTCTGTGAGTTGATTTTCCTTTGATGGAGTTCAAATGAATGCCTCTTGCCCTAAACCTTGTGAGGAAATAAAGGGTATTAGAAACAAACTGATGTATCCTTTGGACTTCCTCTGGACTCACTGAAGATGAGCTCTTGAGCATGGTTCAATGACTCTGGCTAAGTCACTTACCCTCTATTTGCCTTAGGTTCCTCATCTGTAAAATGAGAATAGTAACAACACTTGACTTCCAGGGTTATGAAGATCAAATGAGATAATAATTGTGAAGTGCTTAGCACAGTGCCTGGCACATAGTAGGTAGTATATAAATGTTAACTATTATTACTATTATCATGGTTTACATTGGTAATTAGGAAATATGGTCTTGAGAGTCTATAGAGAAGCTATGATGTGATTTACCCAGAAGACACGGACACCCTTTCAGCGTTTCAAAGTCAGTGTGGAACAGTAGGGAGAATATAGTCTTGCATCAAGGAGAAAAGTTCTATTTTTAAGATGGATATTAGCTGTGTGACTTCAGGTAAGTATATTAACTTCCCTGAACCTCATTTTCCCCATCTCTGACATTGAGCTAATACAACTTGTGTTATCAATCTCACAGGACTGTTAAGAAAAATGTACTTTTGAAAGCTTTAAAGTATGATACAAATGATCTAAAATTTTGTAAATATAAATTGACACCCCAGAAGAAGCAGTGGTACAGCTGCCAAACCACTGTCAGTGATCTTTTGAAGAACCTGGAGAAGTGACCAAGCCCAGCAGGACTAGAGAAGAGGACAGGGGTCCTGATTTTTAAGGTGATAGAGCCTGAAGCTGTAGGCCAGAGAATTTGACTTTAATTCTTTGGGAAAATTCAAGAATGAGTCCAATCATCTCAACAATTATCTCCTAAATATCTGCTAAATATTGGGTTAGAGGCTGGTGATATCTATAGAAATAGTCATAAAGCCTCCCCCTCCCTCAAAGAGCTTACATTCTACTAGGTTGGGGTATAGAGATATAATTAAAAAGATAGTTGGTAAAACAATCGAAACTGAATTCTGCAAAATAATATTGACCAAGTGTGGCCCCAAGGGAAAGACATGAGAAGGCACCTTATCCTGTTTTATTGATGATGCGAGATACTGCAGGTGTTGAACATTACATGTGACATCAGAATTTTTGGACAGATGTGTTGGTTAGCGATGGTGGTTAGTTTGCTGTACTTCCCCCATCTGTCCAATCTTTTTTTTTAAATTTTTTGTAAGTAAGGAATAGCTCTTTGGGAGGGATAAAGCTGATGGATAGATTGGGAAGTCTAAATGATGTAAAAACAAAAGAGACCAATGAAAATATTTTTTAAATGAAAGGTTGGTTAGGAACATCCAGAAAAGGAAACAATGATTACAAAGAGCCATCAGGGCCTCAACAAGTTTTACCAGGGTTACCTGCTTTCTTTTCTTCACAGGAAAACCAGATGGCTACATCAAGGGAATGTTACACATATTGTTTGTTGGTATTTTAATAAATCTTGGAAAATGGATTTCATGTTATTTTGTGAACAATATGAAAAACACATTTCAGTTTGATGTAAGGAAACATTTCCTACTAGTTAGAGCTATTTCAAAGTGGAATGGGCTCCCTTAGGAGGTAGTAGGTGGTAGGTGGCCACTGTACTGGGATTCTTCAGAGAATGGTGACCCCTTGTCATTTTAGATTAAATGGCTATTGAAGCCTCTTCCAGCCTCTTCCATCACTGTCACTAGCATAACTTTGTTATTTGTTTGGGTTACAGGGTAAAAGAAGAAATTACCATTTTGGAGAAGAAATATAGCAACAGCTAGGTATGTAGGGGGAACCGCAGTGAATTGATATAAATTCAGCATGTGTTTGACGGAAAACAAGCCCATTTTTCTATAGTGATGGCCTTTATAGTACAGTATAAAGACTGACAAACTTGTAGTTACAGGATCCAGATTAGAATGCTAACTTTGCTAGCTCCTATCTTTGTTGCCTTTGGGAAGCCATTTTTCTTTCTCTTGGCTTCAGCGCCCTCATCTGTAAATTGAGGAGGTTGTAGTGGGTGGCCTCTGAGGTTTCCTTCAGCTCAAAATCCTATCACCTACCTTGGACACCTTTGGCCATTAATGACTCCCTCGTGCCATTGCCACCTGATGGCGGTTTTCAAATTCAACTCATTTTGTAGTTTGTATTACTGAACTCTACCCTCTAGCTTCTTAAGCTGGAATCCATCAATTAAAAAATTGCTAATTGTGTTTGAATATAATGAAGTTCTTTTTTAACCATCTGCATTTTATTTTATGTCTTGAAAAAAGTGATTCTGGGAAGGGGTCTCTAGACTTGCCCAGGATACAAGGTTGTCATCATGTGTAGGGAAATCCATTAGAGAATCAGGATGCTTTTACACACTTTCCTAATTAGATCCATGCAACACTCTTGGTTTTTCAACCTTAACCTACTTTCTAACATTTTTAAATGGGCATTTGTCTTCTCCCCCTACCTACTTGCCACAGGTAGAAAAATGGCAGCTGGTGGACAGGCTCCTTTGAAGTCTGAAGGGGTTCCACGGAGTAGGTCTGAAGGAAACTTGTTGGAGGAGCAAAATTCCTCCACAAACCATGATACAGAAGGTAAAAATTCTTAAATCTTTTTTTCTAATGTGAGAGATTACATTTGTGAATCAAGAAAACCAACAAATATTTATTGATGGCTTACAAGTATAAGTAAAGTTATTTAGGGAACACATTATTATAGCTGACACTGATATACATTCAAGATTCACAAAGTTCAAATGCATTAACTCATTTGATACAACGCTGTGAGTTAGACACTGTAGCAATTTTTGTACCTATTGTACAGAAAAAAGACACTGAAGGTCTGCATGGTGACATAGCTTGCTCCAAACCACCACGTTGTAATTGTCTATGGCAGAATCTGATCAAAGACCTTGGCAGACTTTTCTTGGTCCAATTGGTCTGCCACTTGGTTTTCCCTTTAATATTATTTTTAAATGAATTTTTATTTATTTTGTTAAAATGGGTTCCAAATTTTCTCCCTCCTTCTCCTTCTTGCCCCCTTGGGAAGGCAAGAAATATGATGTAGATTATACATGTGAAGTCATTCACTACTATGTACCACCTACCTCTTTTAGTCCACTGATCCACATTCTATTTCTAAGCCAGTAGCAGATATTATTTTTATGATTATCACTTTGTAATATAGTTTGTAATCTGGTACTGCTAGGCAACCTTCCTTCGCATTTAAAATAAATATTCTTAATATTCTTGACATTTTGTTCTTCCAGGTGAATTTTATTATTTTTTTTCTAGCTTTATAAAATGATTCTTTGGTAGTTTGACTGGTGTGGCATTGAATAAATTTACTTAGGTAGAATTGTAATTTTTTATTATATTGGCATGGCCTACTCATGAGCAATTGATGTCTTTCCAATTATTTAGATATGGCTCTATGTAAAAAGTGTTTTGTAATTGTGTTCATATAGTTCCTAGGTTTGTCTTATCAGGTAGACTCCCAAGTATTTTATATTGTCTGCAGTTATTTAAATGGAATTTCTCTTTCTATCTCTTCCTTCTGGACTTTGTTGGTAGTATATAGAAATTCTGATGATTTATATGTTTGTTTTATACCTTGCAACATTGTTGAAGTTATTTTTTCAATTAGTTTTTTAGTTGATTCTCTAGGGGTCTCTAAGTATATAATCATATATGTAAAGATTGTTTGTTTTCTTTCGTCATTGTTTTTATTCTTCCAATTATTTTTTTATTGTTATAGCTAGCATTTCTGGTATGATATTGAATAATAGTGGTGATAATGGACACTCTTTCTTCATCCTGATCTTACTGGAAAGATTTCAAGTTTATCCCTCTTACAGATAATGCTTGCTTTTAATTTTAGATAGAAGCGAATTATCATTTGAAGAAAAGTTTCATTGATTCCTATGCTTTCTAATGTATTTAATAGGAATGTGTGTTGTATTTTGTTGCAGGCTTTTTCTGCATCTATTCATATAATCAAATTATTTTTTTTGTTATTTCTATGGTCAGTCATGCAGATAGTTTCCCCAATATTGAACCAACCCTGCATTCCTGAAATAAATCTCACCTGGTCATAGTGTATGATCTTTGTGATATATTGCTGTAATCTTCTTGCTAGTATTTTATTTAATTTTTTTTGCATCAATATTCTCTGAGGAAATTAGCTCATATTTTTCTTCCTCTGTTTTTGCTCTCCCTGGTTTAGGTATCAAAACCATATTTATGTCATAAAAAGGAATTTGGTAGAACTTCTTTACTATTTTTTTCAAATGGTTTATATAGCATTGGAATTAATTGCTCTTTAAATATTTGATAGAATTCCCTTGTAAATCCATCTGATTCTGGGAATTTTCTCTTAAGTAGCTCATTGATGGTATGTTCAATGTCTTTTTCTAAGATAGGATTATTTAAGGATTTTATTTCCTTTTCTGTTATTCTTGGCAATTTATATTTTTGTAGATATTCATCCATTTCACTTAGATTGTCAGTTTTACTTGCAGTTTTATTGGTCAAAAGAACTCCTAATAATTGCTTTAATTTCATCTTCATGAGTGGTGCATTCACCCCTTTCATTTTGGAAATTGGTAATTTAGTTTTCTTCTTTTTTAAAAAATCAAATTAACCAATGGGTTATCTATTTTTATTGTTTTATAAGACTGGCTCCTAGTTTTATTTATTAGTTCAATAGTTTTTTTTTTAAACTTTCAATTTTATTAATGTCACCTTTGATAATCAAGATTTCAATTTTGGTGTTTAATTGGGGTTTTTTAATTTGTTCTTTTACTATTTTTAATTGTACAGCCAATTCATTGATCTGTTTTTCCTTTCTTTTATTGAGGTACCCCCTTATAGAAATAAATTTTCCTTTAATTAATGGTTTGCCTGCAACTCACAAATTTTATTATTTTCTTTCATTGTTGTCCTCTTTAATGAAATAATTGATTGTTTCTATGATTATTCTTTGACCTACTTATGTTTTTAGAATTAAATTATTTAGTTTCTAATTAATTTTTAGTCTATGCTAACATGGCCCTTCATTGAATGTATTTTTATTGCATTATATTCTGGAAAGGGTGCACTTAACATTTCTGCTTTTCTGCATTTGATTGTGAGGTTTTGCATCCTAATTCATGATCACTTTTTGTGAAGGTGCCATGTATAGCTGAGAAAAAAGCATACTCCTTTCTATTCCTATTCAGTTTTCTTCAGAGGTCTATATCTGACTTTTCTAAAATTCCATTCATCTCTTAACTTGCTTCTTTATTTTATGGTTAGAATTATCTAGCTCTGAGAGGGAAAAATTGAGGTGTCCAACTTCTCTAGTTTAATTATCTATTTCCTCCTGTAATTTACTTAATTTTACCTTTGAGAATTTGGATGGTGTCATTTTGTGCATATGGGCTTAGTTTTGACATTATTTCATTGACTATAGTGTCTTTTTAGCAAGATGTAGTTTACCTACTTATCTCTTTTCATTAGGTTTATTTTTTCTTTTGCTTTGTCAGAGATCATAATTGCTGCTCCTTTTTTTTTTGACCTCAGCTGAGGCATTATAGATTCTGCTCCAACTCCTTACTTTAAATTTAAATTTAAAGATTATATGCATACATACATACATATATATATATGTATATACACACACACTCATATACACATATATATTTTTGCTGTTTATTTTATTCTGAGTTATAATCCCAGCTCTTTTGCTTTTTGGAACATTGTATTCAAAACCCTCCACTCCTTTAATGTGGTAGCTGTTAAATCTTGTGTGATCCTGCCCATGGTTCCATAATATTTGAATGGTTTCTTTCTGGCTGCTTGAAGTATTTTCTCTTTGATCCAGGAGCTCTGGAATTTGGCTATAATATTCCTGGGAGTTTTCATTTTGGGATTTTTCTCATGTGGTGATTGGTAAATTTTTTCAATTTCTATATTATTCTGTTTCTACGGTATCAGGGCTGTTTTCCTTGATAATTTCTTGAAATATGAAGTACAGGTCTTTTCTTTGATCATGACTTTCAAGTAGTTCAATAATTCCTTATTTAAAATTTATTTTTAAATTTTATTTTTAATTTATGGAATAAAACATTTCCATAACATAATGCAATAAAAAGATGATTGTACATGAAAGTACAAATCTACTATGTAGAACTTGCTATTCCTTTCAAATATACAATAAAACTATCATGTAAATTTCTTATTTTCTTCCCTCCCCCCTGCCCTAGAGATGAAAATTGGTGCATATATTATATATGTGTGTGTGTATGTATATGTACATGTATACACATATAAATGTAAAATTACTTCATACATACTTCTATTTATCAGCTCTTTCTCTGGATGCATGATAATTCTTAAAATATCTCTCCTTAATCTATTTTCCATGTCAGTTATTTTTCTGATGGAGTATTTTACATTTTCTTCTCTATATTTTCTTTTCATTTTTTGACTTTGTTTTATTGTTTCTTGATGTCTCATGGAATCATTAGTTTCCACTTACCCAATTCTAATTTTTAAGATATGCTTTTCTTCAGTGATCCTTTGTACTTCTTTTTAAATTTTTTTTGGCTAATTCTTTTTTTTGGCTTTATTTGCTTTATTGTCTTTTCCCCCTTCTTTTTACCAAGCTGTTAATTATCTTTTCATCTTTTATTTCCCTTGCTCTCATTTCCTTATGTAAAATTTCCTCTATCACTCTTATTTGATTTTGAAAATATTTTTTTAATCTCTTCCAGGATTTTTTTTGTGTCTAATTTAGTTTTTTTTTTGAGGCTTTGCTTGTAAATGTTTTTATTTCATTGTCTTCTTCTGAGTTTGTTTTAATCTTCCCTGTCAGTATAGTTGCTTTTTATGGTTGGGTTCTTTTTTTGCTTTGCTCATTTTTCTTAGCCCATTTCTTGATTTTAATTTTATGTTAAAGTTGGACTCTTTTCCTGGCATAGGGGTAGGAGGGCAGTGACACTGCACCAACCTTCAGGCTTTATTCACACTGCTGTTTTCAGAGCTAGTTCTAGGGGTTTGGAAGTTTTTGGTGCTTTCAAAGTAGTGTGATCTGTGGAGAGTCGTGGTCATTGCTTCCCTCCCTGGCCCACTCTCTTGTCCTTACCAAGGAATGGCTCCCGATCCCTTGGGATTTCAATTGATACTGATCCTTAGGGTTCCTTCATCTTTGTGGCTGGAAGTGATACTGTTCCTCAGGGTCCCTGCTCCTCTTTGACCGAAAGAGTTCTTCTCTGATCTTTAATTGTGACCCAGAAATGGGTGTAGGCAATGGAGTTTCCAAACATTATCTGTTCCTATATCCAGTGCTAGTACAGGGGTCCTCTATAATCTCTTTCTGAGTTGTTGCCTTGTCCCCTTACTGTCTCTAACTTGAGAGCACCCAAAGCTGTGGCTGTTTCTGTCACCACTCCCTAGTCCCACCACTGGCATTGTATCCACATGTACTCCAGACTGGTCCCCACCCCAACATCACAGATCCTTCTTTCTGACCTCCTAAATTGTCACTGGTTGGAACAATGTCTCACCCCAACCTTTTGTTGGCTCTGTCACTCTAGATTTCAACCTGATACATTATTTTGAAGTTTTTTGGAGGAGGATACTGGGGGAGCTCAGCTGAGTGTTTTCTCTACTCTGCCATCTTGGCTCCACCCAGCTCTTTTATTTCATTACATCTCCCACTTTACATGCCTGTTCTCTCATGTCTAGAATGTACTCCTTCTTCACTGCTACCTCTTAGAATTCCTAGCTCCCTCCAAATCACAGATCAGATGCTGCCCCAACAAAATGAGTTTCCTGGTCCCCTCCGTTCATAGGAGCCTCTCTCCCTTTTGAAGCTCTTTTGGATAGCCTTGTGGTACTTTAGGATGAGTGTGTCATAGGGTTCAAGTAATAAAGAAGCTCAGAATCCACGTAGTCCAATTCCCTCACTTTGCAGATGAGGAAACTGTGGTCCAGAAAAGCAAGAGGCTTGCCTCAGGTCACACAGCCACAAAGCATCCAAGGTAGGATTTGGCCCATCTGTGCTTGATTAGTCATATACGTGTCAGATCCTCTCCTCTTTTCCAGTAGAATATAAGCTCTTTGAGAGCAAACAATCTTTCGCTTTGTCTGCATATCCTCCTCACTTACCACAGTGCCTGCCACATTGCTTAATAAATGCTTGATGAATTCAACTGAAATCCTAATAAAAGAAAGTGCTTAAGCAAGTCATAAGGAATATTTTAAAATTCTTCTGAAAAATCCTAAACAGAAAAGGTTATGAGTGTATAATGGATTAAAATGTTTTAGGATAAGAGTAGTCTGAAGGAGCTGCCAGGAGGAGAAGGTACCTAAAGAATCAGCGGAATCTGAAAGGGAGGCATGACCATACAGTCAAAAGCTCAGAGGAGAGGTGTTTCTTTTGGTCTGAAATTTTCTGTAATGCGTATTTTGATTTTTAACATGTTATTAGAGTTAAGGTGGAAGTTAAGTCCATGTTAATGGCATTCCAATGGTCTGCTGGGTTACTAGACATTTCCCTGGCAGCCTACCCAGTTATTCAATTAGCTAATCAATCCATAGCCTTTTCCCTTACCCCTTAAGTGGTAACAGATTTAAATCTATCTGAAAACTGAGTTGCTGCATTGATTAAGTTCTGACTGTATACAAGGCACCCCATGCCTCAAGATGCTGCTTATTTCAAGTAGACCAGTATCATGATTTTATGGACATATGGATCATTCAGCCTCTACTCAAAGCTTTCCTCCAGAAATTCATCAATGTGGGGTAGCCCTGTCTTTTCAAAAGTTATAGCAGAGAAGAACAAAGTCTGGGGACCAAGACTGGAGGCATATGATGTTCAGGGCTCTGAAAACAAAAGATTAGCTAACACTTAATGTTTGCAATGTTTTTTACAATCTTCATCTCATTCTATCCTAACAGTAGTACCATTCATGAAAAAAATGACATGATACCAAAACATACAGATCTTTGGAAACATCTGACCACTAGACACCTTTGTGGGTTTTAATATAGAAGAGCACTGGCATGTAAGAGCAGCCTAAATAATAGAAATGTAAAATTAAGTTGGGGTAGGGCCTGGCTGTGTGATTCCATTGGTATTGGGAACTCCCTGTACTAAAACATACTGTCACTTTTGCTGAAACTGAGATTCTTAGAGGGTTTTCTAGGCACTGAAAAGTTAAGTGATTTATTCAGGATCACAAAGCTAGTGTGTGTCAAAGACAAGACTCAAACCCAGGTTTTTTCTGGGAGCCAGGTTCTGTCTTCACTCTACCATGCTGCCTCTAAAAATCAAGAAAAAATAAATAAAAATTCTGATTATTCCATTGATCAAGAGGAAACAGGTTAAATCTATTCCTCTTTAAACTAAAAATAATTCCTTCTTTCTTATAAATGACACTTGGTTAGATTTAGATATAAGAATCTCGAGATTAAATGGGATTTTAAGACTGTGACATTATCTGTTATATCAGAAGTCAATGGGATAATTTTCCCCCTTCTTTCCCAAAGACTTAAAAATTGACCAAATCTAAAACTGCTTTTGAAATTCATGGTCAGATCCTGGAGGGTAAATAGCAAGCTTAAAAAAAAAAGTAGACTCTCATTGTTGAGATATGATAATTATTGGGTCATAGATTGATTTGAGAATGTTGACTCACCTTTATTTTATGGGTTTTCGAAACCAGATTGCCAAGACAATGATGTGCTTCCTGGTTGGCCTGAAGTTAGCTCTCAGCATGCCAGTCCTATTTCCAAGACAACGAATCCATTTTGGAACGAACTCTCTGCTTCTAACCCATTCTTGGATGACATAGCTCAGTTAAGAAATATTGAGAAGAGTACAAACATTTCCATTTTAAAAGAAGACCCCTTTCTCTTCTTTCGAGAAGTAGAAGAAGATAGTTCTTCCGGCGATGAATTAAATGTCCATCAATTGCTCAGGAAGTCTTCATCAAGGAAATCTGGGAAATCCAAGAGTGTTTCAGAACTTTTGGACATTATTGATGGGACACTGAATACAGAGATGTCCGACCAGATTTTACCTCATGACATAGAATGGCTTCAACATGACCGGGAGGCTTATAAAATGGCCTGGTTAAGTCAACGTCAGCTGGCTCGATCATGCCTGGATTTGAACACAATGAGTCACAGTCCAGGTTGGGCTCAGACACAAGTGGCAGATACTGTTATTGTTTGTAAATTAGACCACAAAGGAGGCTCAGTGCAACTCCCAGGATCACACATCACTGTGCATGTACCTCAAGGCCATGTAAGGCCTGGAGAGTTCCAAGAAGTTACAATGAGGGCTTTCCTAGACCCTCCAGAAAAGCTGAATCATGATCTGTCATGCACTGTGAGCCCACTGTTGGAAATTAGATTAAGCAACCTTGATACAATGGAAACCATTTTGTTAGAAATGAAAATCTCAGCTGAAGTGAGGCAGGACCCTTTTAGCCAAGTCATGGGGATGCTGACTTGTTTGCATAGCTCCAATAGAGGGGGCCCCTTCAAAGAACTCAATACCTGCTATGTTTACAATGACACAATCCAAGTGAAATTATTAGAGCTAAGTCGTGTGATGTATATAGTGGTCACAGCTCAAGCCAAAACCATTCAGGCACCAGCCACAAGTGTGTGGGATTATATCCACAAAACTGTTTATGTTGGAATTTATGGACCCAAATACATCCATCCCAGTTTCACTGCCATCTTTACTTTATGGGGACATAGCTATATGCCGAGCAAGCTCACCATTACTGATATTAATAGGAGTGGGAAAAACGTGTCTCCAGTTGTATTTCAACTCTGGGGGAAACATTCCTTTTTGCTTGACCAGCCCCATGATCTATACATTTCAGTCCTCTCAGACGATCTAGATTTTGAAGTGAAAGAAGATGGCCAAAGGAAAGCAATTAAACAAGAGCAACTGAAAGCTGGAGAAGTTATCCACCAACAATTTCTGTTCTCTGCAATGGACAGCAAGAACTTACACACATTTGTGTTCCTGGTCCAGATCCATACTCCCAACGAGAATCCCGTAGCACAGTTTTATGTAAGGACACCTGACCCAGCTCCCAACTTCAGTAGGATTCCCAATCAGTCAAATGCATTGAAAATGGAAGAGATCAAGTGCTACCCTTTGTCCCCAGCACCAGCTACTAAATATCCCAAGTTTCAAGATAAAACACTACACTTTATCAATTACGGTGTAACTATGAAAACAGTGTTAAGGCAGAACAAGATTGATTATCTCTTAGAATATTTCAAAGGGGACACCATTGCCCTTCTTGGAGGAGGCAAGGTGAAAGCCATTGGTCAGACCAAAGTCAAGGAATGGTATGTAGGAGTCCTCCGGGGGAAGCTTGGTCTTGTGCATTGCAAAAATGTCAAAGTGATTTCTAGGGAACAAGTAATTGACATGTCAGAGAATGCATTTACAACCCAGAAACTTATAGAACAGGCTGCCCTGCCCTTTAAGAAGATGACCTACATCTATTCAACTGTGCTGACCTTGGTATCTGAAAAAATGTTGGACTGGAAAGCCTTAGCTGATGCACTGGGCTATTCACAGCTGATGGCAGAAGATTTTGATCAGATGCAAGTTGACAAAGAGACAGAAAGAGTGTCTTATGTTGTCAAGAAGTTGAAGGAAGATTGTCATACAGACAGAAAGAGGAGGAGCTTTCTTTATGAACTTGTGGTCGTAAGTATTGCTTGGGTGCTTTTTAAACAAGGACTTCATAACTTAATTAATGTAATAGCACTCCTTTCAAAATAATGATAAAGGACAGGTGAATTTACTTCCAGAAGTCAGCAAATTAAATCATTAAATGCCACTAAGGTCTGGATACAAGGCTATTCCTTAAATTTAATACTCAGTTTGATTCTCAGAAAAATACCCCTCCTCCTAGCATCCTATTCTTCTTTTGAAGGAAGAATAAAGATTCTGTGTAGTAGGACATAACACTAAAGAGACTTGCACTTCTCTTTTCTCAAATATTTAGACATTTTATATTACCTCAAAGTAAATTCATTTCATAAAGGAACGTAACAGCAGGGCCATGGAAAGCACAATTTAACCATTTAACCTTTTAATTCATTGGAGATGCTTTTTCTGTGCGTGTGTGCATGTGTGTGAGTGTGTGTGTGTGTGTGTGTGTGTGTGTATTGGTGCCATTTGATTTTGGATTTTGAAATATGTTGAGTCTTGGATTTGTACTTAGAAATACTTGGGATCAAAAAGTTATGGGACCCTGACGAAGTAATTTGACCTCTTTGTTCCTCACTTTTCTCATTTGTAAAATAAATGGGTCAGCCTTGATGAATTCTAAAGTTCCCCCCTCAATCTCTGATCTTATGATTTGACAAATTAAAATCATTAAAGTCCATAGATATGAGAAAATGGGTGGCAGCTAGAACGTTGGCCTTGGAATTGAGTGGACCTAAGTTACAGGTCCACCTCTGTGTGACCACATAACCTCTCTAGTCTCTAAGACTAGAAGTTACAAATGAGGTATTGAGCTGCATTATGAATGGAGAGTTGGGAGGCTTGAGAGTTGCCCACAGCAGTTAAATCACAGAACTGGATTCCAAGCCACAAGAGTTCCATGGACTTCTTCTGTTAAAGTGCTACTGTCCTTCAAGTCTTCATCTTGGCACAGAGGACATCCTGTGTCCTCAAAATTCTTGCCAATGGAAAATATGCTTTAGTAGTTTCCACCAAGATGAAAAGGTTTTGATTAAGGGCCATATATGTCTGTTCTATACATAGGACCAGTCTAGCTACTTCTGGACAAGCTCGTTACCAGATTGGCTCCAGGGGGTCACTTTTTATTTTTATTTTTTAGGGGGTCACTTTTTAGGCAGAGCAATCCAAGACAACTTTCTCTTAAACCATCAGTGGGGAAAGTATTCCCATCAAGGAAACCATGGAAGGATAGATCAATAAATTAACACAAATTTATTAAATGCCTACCATATGTACCCTCACTGTGTTAGGTGTTGAGGATATAAAGACAAAAATAAAATGTCCCCTGCCCTTAAGGAGCTTAATCTACATCAGGGAAAGTCCTAACTAGTGATAATAAATTAATCCTGTGAAGAGGTCACATTATTCAGAGTCATACTGCGTATTTCCATTGACTAAAACCAATCATCAAATTTTGTTGTTCTGTTATTTAGTTGTTTCAGTCATGTCTGACTCTCCATGACCCCATTTCAGGTTTTCTTGATGGAGAAACTGGAATGGTTTGCCACTTCCTTTTCTAGCTCATTTTATAGATGAGGAAACAGAGGCAAACAGGGTTAAGTTACTTGGCCAGGATCACATACCTAGTAAGTGTCTGAGGCTGAATTTGAATTCAGGTAGATGAGTCTTCCTGAATCCAGGCCTGGCACTCTATCTACTATGTCACCTTACTGTCCTCTGGACATATTTTACATAATTACAATTTTGAAAAGTGTGAATTCAGATACATTTCATAATTTTATTGAATTTATTGTTAGCACTAATTAGGACCTAATCTACATATATAGGTATTTACAAATAGATACTAGGCAATTTTTAAGGGAGAAGAACAAGGAGCTGGGGAAGTCAGAGAAGGACTTATGCCAAAGTGGTGGTTGAACTTAGTCTTGAAGCAATATGAAGAAATTGGAGTAATGAAGGAATGCGTTCCAGGCATAAAGGACAGCCAACGTAAAAGCATGCCAATGCTAAAAGCTAGCATTTGTACAGTGTTTAAGGCTTGCAAAGGACTTTGCCTGTGTAGATTCATTTGATCCTCACAAGAGTCCTGTGAAGTAGTAGGTTCATGATTATCCCCATTTTCCAGATGAAGAAACTGAGGCTTTAATGACTTGCCTGAGGTCACACAGCTAGTGAGTGTTTGAGGAAGGATTCAAACTCAAATCCATCCTCACTCTAAGTTCCATCCTCTATCCACTGGACCATCTAATGTCAGTAGCATGATGGATAGAGGGTCTTGTGTGAGGAACAGTAGGAAGTAGAGGATCCTTGAATCCTTTAAGTAAATGAAGTTTTCTGTGAACACATGAGACCTCAACTTAGTTTAATTTATATTCTCTAAATAGGACTCTCCAAGTCAACAATCCCTTGAATAAAGTCTCAAGGATATACAGCAGATTGTTGGAGCATGGCGTAGAGTCAGGCCCAAGGGAAGTAGGATATCCTTGCCCCATCCTCAGAAATGGGATTCAAAACTGATATAAGAGAAAAAAAAAATCCTAGGAACATAAGGACTAGCAAGATACACGTATGGAATTCTATGCTTACATGACCTGGGTTCCTATTAGCGTGCTGCCTGCAGATGCAGATCTCTACTCCTCTCTGGCTCAGTAGGAGGGCTTCAAGAATTGTTCCAGCTGGAAAATTCAAAGCCAACCCGGCTGTAGAAAACCTGGTATTGAGACCCTCCTAACAAAACTAGGTTGGTTCATCCCTTTACCCATACCGGAAAACCTCCCAGCTTAGTTGTGCCTTTCAAAGCTCAACTGGCAAAGGCATCGAGAACCCGAGTCATCTCCATGTCATTCAAAACCTGCAGAGGGGGATTTTAGGCCATAAATACATATAAAGAATTATACTGATCTTTGCTTCCAGTTTAAACTTGGCCAAGTCACCCAACCTCTCCAGGCTTCAGTTTCCTCACTTGCAAAAGGAAGGATTTGGATAATCTGGACTCTAAGGTCCCTTTCAACTCAAAATCCAGGGCTCTATTAATGTTAGTGTGATCTCTGTATATCATATTTTTAATTGCCTCTGAATGTAACACATAGAATATATGTGGAAACCTAGTTGTGTGTTTTCTCTCCTAGTAGAAAGTGAACTCCTGTGGAATAGGAGTAATGTTTCCATCTTTCTTTGAATCTCCAGGGCCAAACACAGAACCTGACAGATAGAAAGTGCTTAGTAATGACTAATTGACTGACTATGTAAGTACGAGGCTCTTAAGAGGCAGAGGATGATATAAATGAGGAAAGAATTCAAAGAGGAGATGACATAAGCAGTGGGTGTGACCTCAGTCAGGAAGCCTGAGTTTAAGTAGGGAAACAGTAGCTGGTGGTGTTAGCTCTGAGGCCTGGAAGTCCCTTTCCCCTCCAGATCCTATGTATCTAAGAAGAGATCAAGCGTGGGTAAGCTACGTAGAATGCAGACCAGGCTTTATACAATTTCTTTGGTGCATAATGGTCTCACAAATGGATTCATCTGTTAACATCTGTCATTTGCCCTTTTGGGAAAGTCTGATCAGGCTGTCCAACCCCATTGAGGTGACACCATCCTGGCCTTGGTAGACTATGGTATGATAGAAGTCTTTACCTCTGTCATAGGCATGTCCCAAGGGCAAGAAAAGTGCCTCAGGAAGGCAGCCCACAAGAGTGGAGCCTCTGGGAACTCAGAGTACTGACAATCCACCACCACACTCCTTAGGTTTTTAGGCAGGAATCCCTAAGCAGTTGTGCATGTGGACACAGATGCATAAGGCTTACCTGAAGAAATATGGAAAAGAATCCTCCAGAAGCCTTCTCTGGACCTGGAGTACACTTGCAGGTACATAGATGGAGACTAGAGAAATACCCAGGAGTCCCAAGTGGTCATGGACAAGGCTAGCATCCTTTCCCATTCTGCTTGCTCTCTCCAAATCTCTCTGCAGTGTCCAAGTAATAGGTCTAGTCTTAACAATGTATCCCTACTCCTTCCCTTAATATACCCAGCAATAACTTCCTCACTGTTTCATTGGCACAGAAATATTGGTGAGCTTCTGGAAGGAAAAAAACTGAGCTCTTTCCCTGTGCCCATCCATGCCTATTGGTTGCTCCATTACCTGGCTATTGCTAACTTGACAGGACTTACTGTAAGAAAAGTGTTTAGCCAACAAGGTAAACAAGGTAAAAATTTCAACATCACGCAAACAAGCTGCAACTCTCCTGATGTGTTGAATCAGTATTTTCAGTTGTGCTACACAAGTGTATTCTCTGCATTTTAATGAGGATGTGTATTGCTTAATATCATGGCAAAGATAATTAAAGTAGAAGTTGGTTTTGGAAACACAGTGAAGAAATTACTACAACCAGATAAGTATCAGTACTGGTGCATTGGTCTGCCCTAGGCAAGGTTTGAAAATTGTACTCTCTTGAGTTTGGAAATTATATCCTGTGTGTTTTACTGTTGATGAGAGGTTTTCAGTCGACACTCAAATCCGTGTACTTTAAATGATTCCAGAAACCAAATATCTGTGGGCAATGGAGGGTGAAAATGTTTGGCATCAAAATTGGGTATTTATCCAAAGTAATATGAAAAGTGCCTCTCACGGAATCCAGCCTCTAGCCCCAGCCCTGCCTATACACGCTGTATCTCCAGCTCTGATAAGGATGATCTGCTAGCTTCAGAAAGATTTTGATTAGAATATGCCTGAACAAAGAACATACAAATGTACATCTGAGCTGTAAAAGACAGAATAATAGGGATTGAATTACATGGTGGAAATCATAACTATATGTGGAATAACTCATTGGCTTTGTTGCATCTCACAATGTGCCCATTGAAGGCTGAATTGCAAATTTGTCTCACTTCTTTTGTCGGCCTCAAAATGTTTACATGAATACAACTGTTGTATCTCTGGATTTTAAGACTTAATAACTATAATATATTGAATTTGTGTAATTACTGCAGAAGTTTGGCTTCAGGGCTTTTTGTTCAATTGTTCAGTCATGTCCAACACTTTGTGATCCCATTTGGGGTTTTCTTGGCAAAGATACTAGGGTGGTTTGCCATCTCCTTCTCCAACCCATTTTTTTAACAGAAGAAGAAACTGAGGCAAACAGGGTTAAGTGACTTGCCCAGGGTCACACAGTTAGTACATGTCTGAGGCCAGATTTGAATTCAGGAAGATGAGTCTTTCTTTCTCCAGGCCTGACTCTCTATCTCTAGACTGTGGGAAATGAACACGTCAGTCCTTGGGAGGTGTGGGCTAGGATGAGCACTTGAGGAAGTGCATTCGTTCTGGGAGTCCAGGTTCCTGGGTTTAACATTAGTGTGCCCTGAAGAACTCAGTCCTGGGAATCCGGGCTCTGAGCTTAGGAGGAATGGCTTCAAAGAGGTATGAGGAGGGTTCGGCACCAAACGGGCTCAGGGGGATAAGAGTGAGGGGGAAGTAGAGACTTTGGATCGTTGCCTAAGACCAGGAACGAGCTGTTGACAGCAGTAGCTGTCAATGGTAGCCTTTCAGCCACATGTTCCATCTCTCCCACATCCCATTCCTATACATAGACTCCACTGAAGGCAGCTGGGTCCAACACAGCAGACTTCCCTTTGTGAGGGTTCAAACTCATTGTTGCCAGAAGATGACTTAGTCATTCCTTTTCTTAATAAAATAAAAAACAATGATTTTTTTTTGTTTTTCTATCCAGATATATTCCTCCCATCCCTGGGAACTAACTAACCAACCAAACAAATAAATAAAAGAGATAAAAATAAACAAACACAATTGTAGTTCAGCAAGGCTACCCAACACATCACTTTCAGTCTGATGGTGTGCTAGAGCCCCGTACCTCTGCAAAGAAGGGAGGGAGGTACATTTCTCCTTTCTTCTTCTAGGGCCAAGCTGGATCTTCATAAGGACATATTGACGATCTCTTTTCAGTGTGATTGCTATTAATTAACTGTATGTTTCTGAGTATTTATGTCAAATACTGACTACAGTATTTGACTGTATGCTTCTGAGTACAGAAGGATGTGTGGTGATTTTTTTTCTTAACACAGGAGAATTGGATGGATTTATTTTTGTTTTATAGTTGAAGCCATTGATAAACAAAGAGCTTTTGGGAGTTTTTGAAGGCATGTACACAGGGAAGGAAGGACTGGGTAATGAAGGAAAGCAAAACGTGGGGGTCGTAAGGGCAGGAAATCAATCTGATTATTCATTTCATAAGACAATGTTGTATGTCTTAAATGTATGCCTGTTTAACTTCAGAAATACATGTTAGTATCATTCCTAGAAAATAATAGCCATGTCTCACTTTATGTAACAGATAGATCTTTGAAAAGTCATTCATACGTAACATTTTGGCCCTAATCTGAGTCATAGAAAACAATAACCACCACGCTAAGGAAGGTTGCTATTAGAAAAACAGCATGGCCAGTTCATTGAGAAATGTTGGGTCTTTCTTGGTAAAAAAAAAAAAAAAAGATTAATTATTCCCTAATTTCAGGGACATATCAGATATTTGGTCTGTGATGAAGTCAATAATCAGTCAGTAAGCGTTTATTAAGCACTTACTATATGTCTGGCACTGTGTCAAACATCCTATAAGAACAGCAGAACATCAATGACAAGTGGCATTGCTGCTTCCAAGTTTCCAAAGCATTTCATGTTACAGTCAGAAAGTTTATCAGTAAGTCAACAAGCACTTTCTGTAAGGCACTGGATATACAAAAGAAAGGTAAAAATGGCCCTGTCCTCAGGAAGCTCAAATTCCAATGGGATAGGCCATGTGTAAATAATGATATACGTCTAAGATACTTACAGGGTAGATATAGACCAATCTGAGGAGAAGGCATGATCATTCAGCAGCAGGGTTTGGGAACCACTCTCTACAAAAGGTGATATTTGAGTTAAATCTTGAAAGAAGCCAGGAAACCAAGAGGAGGAGGTAAGGAAGGAGAACATTTGAGGCAGGAGGGACAGAAAATGCAAAGGTGTGGAAAGGGGAACTCAGTATCATGAGTGAGGAAGAGAAAGAAGGCAAGTGGTGCTGCATCATGGAGAATATAGAGGGGAGGAGGGTCTAAGATTGGAAAGATTTGAAAGGGCTCAGTTATGAAGGACTTTGAATGACAAAAGATGTATTTGATCCTAGTGATAATAGCAGGTGAGTGAAGGACAGAATGGAGTAAAGAGAAGTAAGGCAGACATACCCAATAGAATGATATGGTAAGAATCTAGGTAAAGCAATGAGGGGCTGAACAAAGGTGGATGTTCTATGAGTGGAGACAAGGGCACACATGCGAGATATGAAGGTAGAAATGACAACAGATTGGATGTGTGGGTGCATGAGGATGACACTGAGGTGATGAGCCTGGGTGATTGGGAGGATCGTGGTGTCCTCAAGCCTGATAGGAAAGTTCAAAATTGGGGAGGGTTTGAGGTGAGGGGAAGATAATGATTCCAGTTTGGACATGCTCGCTTTGACATGCCTACAGGACATCCAGTTCAAGATGTCCAGATCTATTCATTAATAGTGCCAAATGTAGCAGAGAAGTTAAGAGGATGAGAAATGAAAAAAAAAAATCATTAGGTTTGTCCATTAAGAAGGTATTGGCAACTTTTCAGAGAAAAATGCATCCTGTGCTCCGCTGTTCAACTGATTTTACTATGTCACCTGCCAATCAATAAACTCCAGATAGCTCCCTATTTCTTCCAGGCTCAAATACAGCATCCTCTGTCTTTCATAACTTGCTCCTCCCTACCTTTCCAGTCTCGTTAAACCTTCCTCCCCTCCATTTGCCCTGTTAGCCACACATACTGGCCTCTTTGCTCTTCTTTGTGCTCTAAACTCTTAGCTCGAGACTCCGAGCGTTTTCGCTGGTGATAACCATACCTGAAACTCTTCCCCTGAGTCTCTACTTCCTAGCTGCCTTGGTTTCCTTCTAGGCCCAGCTAAAAACCCACCTTCTACATGAATCTTCTCAGTCCTCCTTAATTTTAGTGCCTTCCTTCTGAGATGATCCCAAATTTGTCCTGTATGTAGCTTGTTTGTGCAGAGGTGTTTGCATGCTGTATCCTCCATTAAACTGGGAGCTCTTGAGAGCACACACTGGCATTCTTTGTATTCCCAGCACTTGGGACAGGGCACTCTCCATTAGTATGCCTACCTTGTTGTAGTGAATGCTTACATCAATGACCTTGTAGGCCCTCAGTAAATGCTGGCCAATTGACTGACAGCTTCTATTGAATAAAGAGTTTAAGAGCCTGATTACATGTGGTTGAGAAAAGAGAAGACCCAGTGGAAGTACTGATTGGAGATGGCCTTCCCAAGGAGTTTAGCCACAAGAAAGAGGAGAACAGTATCTTATTTGATTCTGGCAATAATAGATGAGATATGAGATCAGGTATTACTACTTCTACCTTACTGATAAAGTAATTGAGGCACAGAGGGGTTGTGACTTGTTCAGGGCCACACTGAAAGGTCGTGTTGGAGGCAGGATTGTAGCCCAGGTCTCCCCTGATTGCAGACTCAGTATTTTTCCCCTTGACTATGTCACTTCTCATCTAGTCCATCCCTCTTGTTTTATAGGTGCTGATCCTGCTCAGAGAAGGGATGTGAATTGATCAAAGTCATACAGTTAGGAAGAGAGCCAAGATTCAACCTTTGCTCCCTCCCTCTACTCCCAACATAGGTTTTTCTGCCTTATCATCCTGGCATGCTTTTATAGGTACAGCTTGCCTAGGGCACAGTATACATGCATTGCTCACCTCTTAGAGTGGGGAAAAAGCCCCAAATCAAAATGTTGCTCAGCCGCAGAAACATCTGGTGGAAAGCAAGAAGTTCCTTAAAGGTGTGGGGGGTATTTTCCACTTATAAGATCAGACACTGATGACTCATTTTTAATGATGACAGCATTCTCACCATGTAACTGTTGCTGCAGGCACTGCTGAAGATAGACTGCCAAGGGTTGGTTGCGCATCTTATCCGGGAGACCGCGATTCTGACTTCAGCTGTCAAACTAGGGAAAGGCTGGAGGGAGCTGGCGGAAAAGTTAGTGAGACTCACAAAACAACAAATTGAGGCGTATGAGATCCCTCATCGAGGAAGAGGCGGAGAAGTTGTCATGGAGGTAAAAAAAAAATCTACTTGAATTTTTTAGGGTTTGAGATTTCACTCGGCAAGTGAGGCCCAAAGCACCCAAAGCATGAAGATGCAAAGGGCTGACCTTGGAGGCAAAACCACAAATATTTTAACCGTTTCTCCTGTGGTGTCGAAAATGCCCATGTCACTTACTTCTTTGGATACAAGTGTTGAAAGGCATTCTTTAAGATGTGAGTGCCGTCTGGAAGGGCTCACGAATTATTCATGCTTGGCATTTTAAAAAGAGAATAAGAGAGAGACACACACACAGAGACAGACAGAGAAAAGAGAGAGAGAGATACACACTCACACAGAGAAATGTGTTATTGGTGTATTTTCCCCCATTATTGCTACTTACCCTGGGGATAATGGCACTTAACTCTCAGTATCATCATGGGGATGAAATGTGATAATATTTGTACATCAATTAGCATAGTGCCCACCACATAGTAGGTGCTTAATAAGTTCTTGTTTTGTTCCTTCTTCCAAGTGGAACTCCCCTACATGATGAAAAAGTCAGTAAATAGGCAAGTAGGAGTATGGTGGGTAGAACATTGGAACTGGAATCAGGAAAATCTAAGTTTAAATCCTGTCTTACACATTAGGTGAGTGACCCTCGGCAAGTCATTTAACATCTCTTTTTCTCTGTTTGCTCATCTGTAAAAATGGGGATTATAATGTCACCCATCTCCCAGTGTTGTTGTGAGGGTTAAATGAGATAGTATCTATAAAGTGCTAGGTGATAGTATTGTTAGCTAAGCAAAACAAACCAACCCATTGGCCACACCTGACAATATATGCCTCATTCTGAATCGATGGGCTTTTGGTTCTCTGCCAAGAAGAAGAAAGTCTGTTTTATCATCAGTCATCTGAAGTTAAGGTTGATCATTGCAATGACCAGCATTTAGCTCTTTCAATATCATTGTGACCACTGTGTAAATTATTATGACTCTGATTGCTTCTATCTGCATCAGTTCATACAAGTCTTTCTAGTTTTCTCTGAATTATTTACATTGCTCCTTTTTTAAAGAGAGGCTGCAAGGAAAAAAACTCTGGCTCTTGTATGAGAGGACCTGGGTCCATTTTCCACCCCTGACCCTTTCTACCTTTGTTACCTTAGGCAAATCTCTTCAACTGTGTAGGCCTGTTTCCTCCTCATAAAATAGAGGGGTTGGACCAGATGACTCTGAGGTCTCTTCCCTTACATCTGTTACTCTACATTTAGTTTGTCTTATGGAACACTATTATTCCATTTCCTGCCTCTGTCAGTGCTATGATCTTGGCCAAAGAGCTTAAACTTCCCTATGCCTCAGTTCCTGGTCCGTAAAATGAGGAAGTTGGAATAGATGACAGCTGAGGTTACCTCCACCTCTAGATATAGGTTCCTATGATCTTTTATCTTCATAATCTTAGATTTATTCAGTACCTATTTTGTTTCTGCTTGTACTCTTTTGTTTATTTTTATTACAACAAAAATGTTCCTACAGATTATTCTCTGTATTCATACATCTATCTATCTATCTATCTATTTCTCTAATCTTTCCTCTGCTTTTGTTCTATGCATAGCCAATTGTGCTATTATTGAGTGAAAGTGATACCACATACCAAATGGAATGTGACATTTACTGACTTCTCTAATATAGTTCCAAATTATCATGCAGAATGATTGGGACAATTCACAGCTCCACAAACAGGGCATTCATGTGCCTCTCCAGCATTTGCCATTTTTATTTTCTGACACCTTTGCCAATATGGTTGTTCTGAAGTTAAGCCGCAGAGTTGTCAAAATAGATTTCTCTCATGGTGAGTAATTTGGAGCATCCTCTCACATGGCTGGTGATAGTTTGCATTTTGCTATTTGAAAACTGCCAGTTTACTTCTCTTGATTATTTTTATATTGAGAAATAAATGGCTTTTGTTCACTTATATTCACATCAATTGCCTATGTCTTTTGAGGACAGGAAATTGATACACATGTTTTTATTTTTCCTTGAACAGAATGTTTTGTAACTATAATGTATAATGATCAAACTGGCTCCCAGAGAAAAGTTGAGAAAATACATCTTTGTCACTTCATTGTAGATGTGGGGGATTGTGAGTTTAGAAGATTGTGTAAACTGTCAGAATCATAGGAACCCATAAACAGATACAGAAAACATACAGAGCAGTTAGATAGCCTATCATCCTTTCCTTCTGCCTCCACATCTTGGGAAAGTAACTGAACATGAGGTTGCCATCAGGTCAATGCCTTGACATTCAGTTCTTAGGTGTATCTTGGTAGATTAGCTATTATCTTTTAAAATGATCAATTCAGTAGCTTTCAACAAAAACCATTGAAATCATGAAAAGATTTTTCGGGAAAAAAGATTTGTAAAATGTAAACTTTCATTAATTGTTGTTGTTCAATTGTTTCTCAGTCATATCTGACTCTTTGTAGCCCCATTTGGTGTTTTCTTGGCAAAGATACTGGAGTGGTTTGCCAGTTCCTTCCCCAGCTCATTTTACTGGTAAGGAAACTGAGGCAAACAGAGTCACACAACTAGTAAGTGTCTGAGGCCAGATTTGAAGTCAGGAAGATGAGTCTTCCTAATTCTAATCCCAGTACTATCTACTATGCCACCTAGTTACTATTTCATTAATTATAATAATTAAATAATGAATTCTTGAATACTCATCGATGGACCTATGATCTCATGCATGTAGGTGTCCCCTCTAGCAGGGCAGATCACAATACATCTATCCCTGCACATTTTGTATGGCTTCTGTCCGCACCCTTCCATAAATCCTCCAAAAGGCATCGATCCAATGTACTGAGACCATTATTCTGAATCTCTTGACACTACATTGGTGTCAGTTTACCATGTGGGCTGCCCTTTGTCAATCTCAACACAAAACTGACCTTTTTTGTTTTCTTGTAGGTTTTCAGTTTCCTTATGTACAATAATACATATGGCCCCCAGATTCCATGACTATTCAATGCACCGTGTCTGGGCTCCACCTAGCTTTATTTCTTTTGATGCTCATTGTTACTGTGGTGATTATTGACTACTAAGGAAGCATCCTCTCTGTCCCATAATAAACATCTATCTTCCTCAATCATCTAGGAGATCTTTTCCTCAACTCTGAGTATAAGCAAAGAGATGTTTGCTCATTTTTATCCTTCTACACAACAGAAGAGATGCAGTATGACTGAGTAAATAGTAAAGTTCTAGGTTTGGAGTAAGCATGAGTTAAAATCTTGCCTCTGACATTGAAGAGTTGTAAGACTCAAGTAACCTCACTAAGCCACAGGTGATACCCTAGTCTTTACCTACTAATTCATAGACGAGCTGTGATTGACATTTGTAAAGGGAATTCCCATGCGAGATGTTGAACATGCTAATGAAATCATGGTTTCTTCTCATGTATAAGTATACCAAATGAAAACCATAAACATCTCCTCTCAGTGAGGAAAATGATGGTGAAGGGCACCACACACTACATATTTAGATGTACTTTTAGGTTCATCTTGAGCCACAGTATTTGAGATTGGTACAGAATGAAGTCTAAGGTAGCTGAGTTCTTCTTTCGGATGCTTGAGTATAATGTTCCCAATTTCCAAGCGTCCTTCTGTGATGAGTGTTATATAAGCCTGCATATGATGATCACAAGGAACTGAATGTTCTGGTCATTGTACCCCAGGAATACATGGAAATACAACAGACCTATCTTGTAAATTTCAAGATCATTCTTTTTAAAAATTAGTTAATTTATTTTTAGTTTTCAACATTCACTTCCATAAGTTTTTGAGTTTTAAATTTTTCTCCCCCCTCTCTTCTCCTCCCTCCCTAAGACAGCATGCAATCTGATATAGGCTCTACATATGCATTCCTATTAAACATATTTTCCCATTAATCATGTTGTAAAAAAGAATTAGAACCAATAGGAGGAACCACAAGAAAGAAGAAACAAAACAAAGCAGAAGGAAAAAAGAGCAAATAGTATGCTTCAATCTGCATTCAGACTCTGTAGTTCTTTCTCTGGATGTGAATAGCAATTTACATTGTGAGACTTTTGGAGATGTCTCAAATCCTTGCATTGCTGAGAAGTGGTAAGTCTATCAAAGTTAGTCATAGCACTACATGGCTGTTACTGTGTACAACATTTTCCTGGTTCTGCTCATTTCACTCAGCATCAGTCCATACAAGTCTTTCCAGGTTTTTTCTGAAGTCTGCCTTCTCATCATTTCTTATAGCACAATAGTATTCCATTACATTCATATACCACAACTTGTTTAGCCATTCCCCAATGGATGGGCATCCCCTCAATTTCCAGTTCTTTGCCATCACAGAAAGAGCTGCTATAAATATTTTCATACACGTAGGTTCTTTCCCCATTTGTATGATCTCTTTGGGTTACAGATCTAGAAGTGGTATTGCACATTTTTATAGCCCTTTGGGCAGTTCTGAATTGCTCTCCAAAATGGTTGGATCGGTTCACAACTCCACAAACAATGCATTAGTGTTCCAATTTTCCCACATCTTCTCCAACATTTATCATTTTTCTGTTTTGTCATTATAGCCAATCTGATAGGTGTGATGTGTTACCTCAGAGTTGTTTCCATTTGCATTTCTCTAACCAATAGTGATTTAGAACATTTTTTCATGTGACTATAGAGAGCTTTAATTTCTTCATTTGAAAACCTCCTGTTCATATCCTTTGACCATTTATCAATTGGTGAATGACTTGTATTCTTATAAATTGGACTTAATTCCCTATATATTTTAAAAATGAGACTTTTATCAGAGACATTGGTTGTAAAAATTCTTTCCCAGTTTTGTGCTTCCCTCTTAATCTTGGTTGCATTGGCTTTGTTTGTGCAAAAAATTTTTAGTTTAATGTAATCAAAAATATCCATTTTGCATTTCATAATGTTCTCTATCTTTGGTTTGGTCATGAATTTCAAGAGCATTCTTGACGGCTGTGTTGACAAAACACTGAACTGATGCT